CAAGAAGTAAATATGTAGGAAAGTGAATATCTTCATGTAAAGATCCTGATAATAATGAAAGACTAGAATCGCCAATGATTTGGAAAAAGATGCTGAAGAGATAAAGACTTGGTTTAAGAACCGCCGTTCAAGAGGTACACCAGCAAAAAAATCTTCATTTGTGTCTCCAAAGTGTAATCAAGTTCAAAACATAATGATCTCACGTGAAAAATATGATGTGCCAAATGGAAACGAGATTAATGTTAGTCTTAATGTGCTTGGTAAAAATAAACGAGGCCGAAAAGAGCGATTTGTTTTCAGTAAAGAACAAGTACAAGGTTTAGAAGAAGCTTTCCGTCAACATCCAAATCCAGAACACTGGCAGAAAGATGAAATTGCTGTAAAATGGAATTTGACTCGTGCAATTGTCACAAATTGGTTTAAAAATCGTCGAACCAAAGCCAAGAAGACTTACGGAAAGGAAAATTCAGTTCCCCCACCGCCACCACCACCTCCACCTCAACCAACAATTGCCTATCAACCTCTGATATCAATGGATCAATATCCACCAGTGTTCTACCAACAACCACCACCACCAACTCAACCAACAATTGCATATCAACCAGTGATATCAATGGATCCACAACCTCCAACATTAATGCATCAACCACAACTGCCACCATCACCACCAATGGAATCGAATGATGAACAATCAATTTCCTTAGAATCACTATTTTTTTATCAACCTCTAATGCCAATTGAGTCAGAATCTATCGAAACTCATATCCCAATAGAACTCGAACCGTCCCCAACATTCACTTCTCCTTTCGAGGACTTTACCACTAGTTTTATTGATTATATCAATAATTATAACGATGTATAATAAAATACTTTCAATAAATTATATTTCACTTTAAACTTTATCTTTCATTTCATTTACGCGATACTTTTGAATTCTTTATATCCTCTTATTATGCAGACCTTGATCATTGCGGTGTTTAATGTAAAACCAAGCTTTCCAATCATAAGTAAGTAATCAGCAACCTTGTCTAAAACGGCAACTCTGAAAAAGAGAAACACTCGATTGAAAATTGTATGCACAGAAAATTGTCACAAATAATTGATTTACCTGACAACATTCCTAAGTAAAAAGAAGAATGCTTCTTTAGCAGCAGGCAGAAAAGATTGTCCATGAACAGCTATCATAATATAAGCATCGGTATTCAAAAAACGCATGAACTTTTCCAGCATCCAGAAACAGCAACGACAGGTCCTTTAAATCAGAAATCGAAAAATTAAAAAATTGAACAAAACAGCTACAAACTGTTCTCCTGGCGGTGTTTAGTTTAAAACCAATCTTTCAATAAGAGCCGCTTTTTAACAATAAGAAATGTAATTGTTCCAAGTATGGGTAAGCATACACTTATATTAATTTGAATATACAACGTTATTTCACTGATAATGAAGAAAAATAGCGAAGAAAATATTGATTTCGCCATTCGTTGCATTTCTCATTCTGACGATGATTTGTTTAATTTTGAATATTTTCAGAGTGAATTCGTGTTTGCTACTCACAATGTGAGTTAGTAAAAAAACTTTAAAATCAGTTATGATAATGCGCCCACTTCATCAAAAAACTAAGTTGTCTTCAAAATTCAAATGTTAATTTGATATGAATTTTGAGCTCACCTCGTTTCATAGTTGAGTCGAGATTAAAGAGACGAAACAAGATCGAAGTTAGAAATATAAGTTTAGTCGATTAATTTCAATTATTTTTAGATTACTGAAAAGATAATAAAATGCTGAGCGTTGCAATGTTTTGACAGTCAACTTTAACAATTGTTTGAATAAAGAAAAGAAAAAATTGTTGCATTATTATCAGAAAAATAACGCTTTTCTTCTTCTTCTGTCAATCAACTAGCATTGTTTTTGGCAACAACTTGACGTCAATCAACTATTGTTATTGTTATTATTCCAACATAATGATGATAATGATGAGAATGAAGATTGTACTTAATAACAATAATCATGCAATCAATGGTCAATCAATAAAGCAGAACCAGAAATATTGAACTCAAAACCAATAAGATTAACAATAGACTGGCAAACAAGAAAAGAGACTGATTCAAAGGTGATTATATTCATGGCTAATAATCATGATAATATCATACGATACATCGATATAATGAAAAGGGAGTGTAAATGGAATCCATGAAACTCTTTCATCTTCACCATAAAATGAAACAAAATTTTCAGATTTGGATGGCAAAATGGTTCTTAAAGCCAGTTTCGGGTAAAGATGTTTTCAAACTCCCAGTCAATCCATCCAGTCTCTCAATACATCAAGTAAAAAATGTCCCTGTTTCACCAATCTTTTCAGCAAGCAAATAATAACTAAACAAAAAATTAGAAAAGCAAAATGTTTTTCTGGTTTTCAAAATTTACTAATAAGCCTTGCAGCCATGTTCAAATCTGGATTATCTTATTGATCTCATTAGATTTAGGTTTGGGTTTACACTAAGTAAGACTTATAATCAAGTCATTTTGTTAGGTTGGATCAGCATCGCTTTTGCACGAAGAGTTAAAAAGTTTCACTCAATTTACATGAACTCATCTCAATCGACATCATTGGAAACAAAATCATGAAAATGTAGACAATCCAAGAATTAGGAAAAGGAAAATTTCACAGTCTTTTGCAGGATAATAAACTTGCTTAATTATTCATCAATGATCATCAGTTATCAATAGTTTAAAATTGCGATTCTGCACTTGTCCTTCATCCCTGTTTGAACGTGAATTTCTTGAACGTAAATTGTGATTAAACTGTGAATACTTTTCGCAGATGAAGTTCATGTCTTTCAGACTTGTGCAAACATTTTCTTTGAAATCTTTTCAATCGAAGCAAAATTTTGACCCAGACCAATTTACGATCCAGGTAAGGTTATCGACTTTGAAGCTGAACCACCAACTATTGAAGTGTTTCAAA